GACTGATTTCAATGAAATCATGCAGATTCTGTCATGAAGATGTGGCTTTACCTATATAATTGTCATTTCATAAAGGAAKAGTGCCCCATGCAGGTATTCAAGAGATAAAGCAAAAGAAATTGGGAAAATGAGGGAGAAGGAGAGCGTGGCCAAGTACACTAATGAAAGAGTAACTCAGAGCTGTGCAGAATATAATCCATCTTGATTTTACCATTACAGAATTTGCTAGTCTGCTCGTGTCAAAAGTGGAATTGGAAAGCTTGTTCAGGATCTTTTTCACTGTGAAACATCACATAAGACTAGCAGATACTAGATTCAAAGTAAATAAAAGCTTGTACTTCAGCTGAGGCATGTGCCACAGGTCACTGGAAGCTGGAGAATACTCTGAGAAACACCATACAGCTACCCTGTTACTGTACTGTTAATTACACAGCTGCTGCTTGCTGCTGTGGAAGACACATTGCTGTACACTGAGCTTTAAACCAGCCAGGTGCAGCCATTGTTATACTTCAGATAGGAACAGTTAATACTTCAAAGTGCTTAAGTTTATATGGTATGAGGGACACAAAAATGGAGAAGGGGTAAAAGCTATTGTTTTCCATATTTTTTTTTAATGGAGAATCAAGCAAGAAGCTGTTATGGGTCTTGTCCAGGRTCACACAAGAAACCAGTATCAAAGTTAGGGACTGGGATGAGATACTGGGTCTTCTTCAGTGCCTGAAGTATAGCATCATCCTTTCCCTTTGGTTAGCCACRAGAAATCTCTGAAGTAGAAACATAATTGAAGATATTGAGTTGTCAGGCTCAGAAATACCTGTTTTTCCACAGAAACCTCTTTCTAGCGACAGCTAAGCTTTTGCAGGGAGAGAAACACTTGTCATCATGTGAGCTGTCAGAGACCTAGCCTGTGCAAAACACTGTAGATGTGAAGCTGCCTCCTAGAGGAGTCTCCTCCTGCAGCCATGTGGAATACGGCCTGGATCTGGGCAATCCAGCTGTAATTCTGCCTACTTAATAGTTTTTCACCATGGTCATGACAGAATCATAGTTGTATTTTCTGTYGTCTGTTGTCAGAAAACAAAACACCATTTTAGTGGTGATATATATATAAGGAAGAAAGACGAAAGACATGTTCATTTTCATAAGCTAACTTCAGCCTGGAGTAACAAAGAGTGAGAAGAGTGCACTTAATCATTACTGCAGAGCAGAAAACAATGACAAAATTCTTGTCGTTAGCCATGGTGTTTTATTATAACACCACTTAAGAAGAAAAAGGAGACAGTTCAGGATACTGAACAATTCCAATTCATTATGGCAAGCATGGCGTTCTCAATTGCTGAAAGAATAACTCTTTCAGGTTTGCCTTTTGCAAGGGCCTCAGTGCCAACGCAAATAAACACTGTAGTCCTTCACCTTGGGAATCTGAATTCAGATTTTGATCTGATCKGACTGACACACAGCTGCTGAAATACCAGCTAGAAGGTTTCATTCATGCTGCAAAAGTAGGGCCAACAGCACTGTAGCCTTTGCTCACRAGAATGAAGTTAATCAAAAGCTGATAGTGCGAAGTTTCAGCAGAGGTGCACGTGCCTCATGGGGAAGACACAAAGAGTGACAGGAGGACAGGGCAGGGCAGAAGCCAGAGAACAAGGATAGTAGACGGTGGGTGAAAAGGAGAGTTCTCTTTGTCCCTGCTCACGTCATGCACGGCTTTGGCCAGGACCTTCTTTCTACAGCTTCCCAATGCACTTGAGAAAGGAACCAATGAGATGGAATGGCAGGTAATACTCAAATACGTTAGATAAATTTTCTCATGGTGATCTCTGATAGCAAAATCTTGTGATGGAAATTTTGATGGAAACATTTTTAGTTGTTCAGAATGACAAAAATATGATTTGGAATTTGATTTTTGACCTTTTAAATACATAATGTAAGATATTTTATATATTATTCATCTAAATTATGTGTCATGTTCATACTATTGAAATGGGAATTGTATATTGTTTATACAGAATATTTAGATGTGATTATTTTGATGGCTGCGAATCAAAATATCTAAGGACCTCTTTGCCAGAAAATATTTTTGAATTTCAGTTTTTTATCCTGATTCGTAATGAAGGCATTTTTTGAAATCACCAAAATTTGCTGTGTATCTGAAGTTATGTTTTTCTGATTAGTTCTGCTCTCAGTTGAGATCATAGAAACGACATAAAGGAAAAGAAATTGTTATTTTTCTTTGGAAGAGATAGCAATACCATCCCAGGCTACAGAAACTGGATGTATAACTAATGAAGACACTAACTGTATCTTCATAATTTGCTCCAGGTTGGCTTGAGAGGAAGTCATTTCATCTGCCTAACAAGATTTTAGATACCAGTAAGAGTTATAACAAGTTATATGATATATTAGCTTAGGCAGTACCTAARTATTTGTGTTTTCCCAGGCAGCTCCAAAAGCAAACTGGAATGTGTTAGCTAATAGATTTTAGTTTGTGASCAGACAAAAGGGCAGGTACAAACAGTTATTCCAGCTTAGTAGATATGAATCACGTTATCTTATCYATGTGCCTAACTAAGCTCTAAAGTTTACATGTTAATTGTTGCCTTCATCTATGTTTCATATCGAATTCCGAGAAATACTGCTAAGAGCAGGATTTGTTCTAGTGCCTTTAAAAATACAGGGAGAAGGGGAGGGAAGTGATACTGCTACAAAAATACATGGAGATATAATTTCCTAAGCCTTCCAGTCTATACTGGCATGAGAAACASTAACTGAGAAATAAGTATTTCAGGGATTTATTTTCAGAACTGAGATTTTGAACTAGTAGGTGGGAAAGCAAAGCCATCAACAAGCAGCAAGGTTTGTTCATTTCTTAYTATGCAGCAGTTTGAAGGTTGAACTCTGTGGCTTGTTTGGCAACACATAGGGCTAAGATAATGAAAGCAGATTGATGCTCCATGGTAAGGAAGTTCAATATCTGCTTCTTGCAAATAGAATTCTGACATTTCTTTTGATGTTAGCAGTGCTATCCTCAAAAGGATCTGCTGACTGCTGAGTTGTGAAATGTGCTGTTAGAGCGTGGGCAGGGTCACTGTCTTCCTACCAGCTGTGCCATTGCATTCCGGCCCAGCTGCACCTGCAATTTTTACTGTGTTTCTCGTACTTTACTAGACGTGGTACTTTCTCATTTTGGTTTATTCTACCCCATCTGTAAGGGGGTGGTTTGTAAAGAGCAATCAACCTTCCAGCAAAGAATCAACAAGTGTTAGCTTAAATCTGTGCCCTTTAGAATGACTTGTTTCAAACAATCAAGATTCCTGTGTTATTTCCTCACAATATATATTTTTTTCTATATATCTCATAAGATGAGAAACCCTACAGTTGGTTTGGAAATAGCAGACCTTCCTTTCAGCAGTTGTTTAGGATGCATATGGACCTAACTTGAATTCCTCTCATTTTCTTATGCACTCTGCTCTGTTAATTTTGACAATTTTGAGTAGCACATGTGTGGGGTGATAAATGCAGGGTGCCTAGATTTCTCACTGTTTTAACAAACTAGTGAAGAGATAGATTGTAGAAAAGGGAATATATAGTATATAGTTGAAAGGAAAGCCATCAGTAGAAAATGAGGGCTGTGAAAGACTGTCATGTTGTGACTGGGATAGAGTAGGTTGATCCTGACAGTGCTGTGGAGTGCACTTGGGAATCTCACAAAGTCATTTCTAGATTGATTTTCATTCACTCCCTGAATGTTTTTGTAATGTGCAGCTCTGCTGTATTTGCTAATGCCCACAAAAGACTCTCGTGGTCATCTACCCCATCCTAAATTCTTCCTAGCTGTTTCTGAAAGTAAATGAGTCTTCTGTCTTTATGTCTTGCTTCACAGACAGGTCTGTCTGTGACCCTACCAAATTTTAATAATTCAGATAATGCTTCAACATATGCAGCACAGAATGATAATTCAGTACTTTCAGTGCTCTGCTGTGGTCCCACATTCAGTTTTACTMACAATGTCTGAGATTTGGAAATGTTCTTGCAGAGCATCATATTTAACTATTTTCTAGAAAGGTGGTAAAAAAAACTCCAGTCCCAGTCATACTGCCCTTCCTGAGTGCATCCCTCTGTCAAAACACCATTGCCTTTCTTTGTTTAGATCCAAAATGCAGTCTTTTTTCCTTCCATTCCTTCACAAGAGCACCATTTCAATCACTTCTCTTATTTACATTTGATACAGCACATCTCAGGATAGATAATTAAGTCCTTATCTATACAAACATTCACTTTTCTGTTGATTTTTAAGCAYTGCAAACCTTCTAGACACATTTGATTTAAAACACATTTTACTTCAGATGAAGCCAGCTGCTAATCAATGTAAGCTAAAACAAAATAAGCCCATCTAAAGCTGAAATCATAATTTCACACAGGCATTACCTAAATGAGTTTTAAATTACTCTCTTGAATTAAAACAGTGCAACTTTTTTATGTAGGTAAGCCTTTAGAATCCAATATTTTCTAGAGCAAAAGGGATTTCCTTTGTGCCTGWGGGAAAAAAGAATGACGCCAGTGGGGGGGGAAGAGAATAATGTATTATATCAAACTTTATTCTTCAATTATATTATCTCTATCAGAGTATAAACAGATCCTCATATTTGATGATCATTTTACCAATACTTACTTCTCACCAGGAGTGTTCTTCATCATTGTATTCCAAAATCAGGCAGCATTCAGATTTGCCTGGGTGATATATTTTTTGTCAGTGCAGCAAAGGTTCCCACAGTGTTTAATTACTCAGACTAGCCAGGGGAGAAGGAAAGAAATGAGCCGTGCTGAGTTTGCTGTGCCAGGATTGTTTTCTGTTACATAATGAGGCATCTTCCCAACGTACGAAGGGAAGGTAGCCTCAGAACCGCTGTCTTCTGTTGCCACTGTCTGTCCCATTTGTGTTTGCCCTTGATTGACTGCCTTTTTTGATCATATGTTTGCAATTTGCTCCTTTGCAGGGCAGCAGGTTCTTGGCTTGGTGGAGAACCAAAGTGACTGGTATCTGGGCAACCTTTGGAAGAATCATCGTCCCTGGCCAGCGCTTGGGAGGGGTTACAATACAGGTAAGTCCTGAGGGTTTCCTTTGAAGTGCCATTTTCATTGAAGGTGGAATTTATGTCCTGGCGTAGAATGAATGTAGTATGAAAGGTACCTCCTTCCCAACCAGCCTCAAAAATTGCAGGTTTGAGCAGTAAAAATGATGCATTGTGATGTGTTTTAGAGTTCCAGCTCTTATGCTACTCKATGGGGAACATGTTCCTTCTCTAAATGGCCTTAAGAGAGATTGTTTGACATTATTTGGGGAAGGGCAGAACTTTTCAGCAGTCTGGCACATTCCAAGCACATCTCTTACATAAAGATTTCTCGCTATGATGAGCACCTGAGGCATATGTAGGCCCAGCAAGAGGGAAAGAATAGGAATTAAGGCTCATTTTCTGTAGAGAGGTAAATGGCACAAATGTTAAATGGCACAAAATGTCAATGTAGTAACAATATAACTCMTGCAGGACAACAACAGGGTCATAATTATCCTAATAAAATGCAAACCACTGGCCATCAATTTCTGCTACCATGAGAAAGGAATAAAGGCACTAGAATTTATTAGTTTATGAGAGACAGGTCTTCCCACTGATTTGTGTTTGGTGTGTGAGAAAACATACCAGGTACATAAAGAACACACACATACATCTAAATCATTCCAATGCTGGGCTTTATGTGCTGGTGCAGTGAGTTAGATTCCCTTTCTATTTGTAATAAAAGGATAGAACAGATGGTGAAGGCTCTGTTTAGAATAGATGAGTCTATTTAAATAACCCTGCACTATCAGAAAATGATTCACCATAATAGTGGTTTTGCTGTACAGAAATATACAGGGTTCAATTAAACAGACTAACTAGAAAAAATGTTGCACACGGAGCTGGGTCATCTGTGTTTCTGTATTCCTTTCAGCACTGGGAGAAATCATTCCAGTTTTTGAGAATTTGATTTTCAGCCATTGCAGAACATCTCTGTTCTCTGGAAATGTTAAAAAAAAAATAACCTAATACCACCCAGATAGGTAGGGATGTAAGATAATAGCAAATGAGGTTTGTTTTCTGGTTCTCTACTCCCCAGAGTAGAAGTACGTATGTTAAGGCTTGGAATGCCCCTATCCCCAAACACATGAAAGAAAGCTAAGTTTGATGAGTTTGCCCTGATGCCTGAAAGCTCATGTTATACCTAATCCAAACTTCTCAGCATCACTTATGGTCAGTGTTACAGCACAAAATCTTTTGTTTTTCTGAAAGATAGCTACCTTTTATAATTATTTTCATAATTACAAATTTACCTTTCAAATATGTCATTTCTTTCTGTTATTTTAATGCTGAAAAAATGTGGCACAACTACATATCATGGAAGTAACTCACACATATAGGCTATCTAAAATGTAACTGTGTAAATAATAATGCTATACAGATTTCATTTGTATTGTYATAGCTTTCTGATGGATGTTACTGTAAAAGTACTAAAGTCAATGTATCACACAATTCCTCCACTGGAAGCAAACCTAATTGGATATCAATAGTCTTTCCCATTTATTGTACATGTTAGTTGGTGGTGAGTATAAATACTTAGCTGCCTATCCATGAAAAATCTTGCACATGATTTTAGGCTATTCACAATTTCTTTCTTCAGACAATGCACATGCAGTTATGAATTTCTTTAAGAGACATAGGAAGTCAAAAGATAGATAATGAATGGAGGTTTGCAAAGGTGAATATAATAAGTGGAATGCCATTTTTTCATATATGCAACAAGGGATCATTGAGAGAAACACTGCAAGCTCTGAATGGTAGCAAATGATCTGTTAATAACAGAATGGGCATAATTTGCTGTAACTATTTTTCTTAAATTCTTTGTTTGTCTCAGTAGCAGAGATTGGAGGTATATACCTCTCAAAGAAATAACAAAATAAACTGGGGTTTGTTTGATATATTCACTGCAGACAGCACTGTGGCCAAGGAGGATTCAGAAAACTAAAGAAAGAGGCAAAAGAAAGATGGTAACTCCAAGCAGAGTTATTGATCAAAGCTAGGCAAGGAAAGGGAAAATTTAGAGCCTTGGGTATTAAAAGCAGTATTAAGGAGKCCTAAAAGAGACCCCCAAACCCTAAAACTTCAATGAGCTCAACAAAGACTAATCAGAAGGAAGGAATGAGAGCCTGTGCTCTTGGGAGAGCATTTTACTACAGTCTTAAGCTGTAGTCTTATGAAAAGAGATTTTTATGTGCGTCTCTTCAGCCAGACCCAGCCCTTGAAGAYTGGATGCAGAAGCACTCCTCCGAGGCACAATCCTTCCATTGCCTTCCACTGCTTCCTCCCTGATCCTAAAGCATGTCATTTTTCACTCACCTCTTCTTCCTATATCTCAGCCCAGCTGGACAGAATATAGATTGGGGGAATCTGGAAGGCAGATACATTAAAGCCAAGGCTCCGTTTGTTTCTTCTCCACTAGTAATAAATAGGCAGGACTCCTTAAAACTGGTAAACATGTGAGTCCTCCTTTTCCTGTGTGTCCAGACCAAATCTCCAGGCAGCAGATGCAGATATTGAAGGTGTTGGGTTTTTGTTAATCCTTCTTGTTCATTTGCATGGGCAGATAATCCAAGTCAAACTTCAGTCCATAATAATACAAYCTTAGGAGAAGCAGGCCAAACTCAAAGTCAGGGGCAATTTCATCTTGTGTAAAATGTTCTTAGTTAGACCTATTCTTTATTGACAGTGTTTGAAACAATTTTTCATTTCCTTGGGTCATTTTAAACACAGTTCTTTCAGTGCCACATAGGTATTGGAGTTTCTTCAGTACCTCATTTGCTAACAGCCTTACCAGATACTCTTTGAATGTGACATCTGCTCCATCTTACATGTCTGCACTGAGATTAACATTTACAGGCTCACAGTACATTAGTTAAAGCATACACTTCAGTCTGTGTAATCTATTTTTTTTTTTACTGACTAAACTGTTCTTTTCAAAGTATTGCCTGAACTATACTAGGTTTTTCTCTTTACAGATGCTAAACTGACAGCTCCAAAATTGCTTTGTATGATGTGATGTTCATTTCTGGAGTAATGGCCATCTTAATCCTCAGAAAAATATTTTTCAAAGAAATTCTAAACAAAACCTTTTAGTGCTTTCTGTGCATTATATTTTCCAGCAAGGTGGAGAATAGTTTTAAAAAACAGTTTCTGCTGACTCTGTTGTCATGATTTCAAGCCGCATCCTCAGATGATGTAAATCTCTCTTGACTGCTCTGCCTGCACTGCATCTGGTCTGACTACAAAAACTGAGAATTTGACTCCCAGGTCTTTCAAATGCATCAGTCTAAATTATAGGCAATATATTCAGTGCAGAGGTTTCAGGACCCAGGGGAGTTTAGTCTCTCGACAATACTGTCCATTACTCCTGAGACAACTCAGAATTCATTTTCTATCAAGCCACAGCACAGGAACCATTTCTCAAAGTGACCCTTTCCACCGTGAAGTCTGTAAAATTCTTACAGGAGTCGAGACTGTAAAAATTAATGCCAACACAGAAAAAGAAGAACTATAGTAAACTGAGGAAAAGAAGAACACCTAAAAAGCTCAAGACCTTTGGCTTAAGTTTTGTTTTTAATTAGAAAAGTGTAAGAGCCTTAGACTCAAACTGCTTTCCCAGGTTAATATGTCAGTTATCACTGGAAGAGTAGCTATACTGTGTATGCTCTGGCCTGTTTTCAGATCTACTTTTTTTCCTTACATTTTTGGACTCTGAGAGCAGCCCTCTTTGCCTGATACAAGGACTCACTAGGGTCATGGGTCTTGAGGCAACCCACTTGTATTCTTTGCACTTTGGGATCACATCTTGTGCTGCTCCATGACRATACTGTGCGTCTTCAATGCTGAAAGCAGGTGACTGATGGAGAAAGGTGAAATAGGTGGTAGTTTTCCTTGGATCTTTCTATGGCCCTGATCCAGAAAAACTAAAACCACCTCCATCTGTTTTGTATGCACCTCCCTTCACTATGAGTGTGAACTGCCAAGTTGTTTCCAAACAAGTTTTCCATGAACTGGACACTGTATGAGATCTGATGTTAATAAGCGATGAGCACTTTTAAGCTCAAGTAGTTCTCAGCAAGTCTAATAATGAATGCTTTGAGTAGTTACTGTTGCCTAGTTCTGTGTGGATCCGTTATCGAAAGACTTTTTCTTTTTACAAGAAGTCTCAGATTTCTATGAGATCCATCCATCCATATGTATTTATACATCCCATAATCATAATCTGACTATCACACTTATATTCTTGGTCTAAAGGAATATGTTGTTTGCGAGAGACRATTTTTCACAGTTTTCTTAATGAATGATGAAGTCAGAAAACTCTTGAGCTTTTGTACCCTTCAATATTCAGCATCAGGCTCTGGCATAGGAGAATGTCACTCAGTTTAGCAATGTCCTGTCTAAACACCATTGAAATACTTCTGCCTTCAATTACATAAATCATTAGTCACTTTTGGTTCAGGTCATTCAGGAATTGCTATCGTTGTGTTTAATTGTAAATATGAGAGCCTTTGAAAACAGATGTAAAATATATTTTAATGATAATAAAGTTAAAAAGCAGAAAAATGAAATCTGACGCRAGCACCAAGGCAAAAAGTTATACTCTCTTCACCTTCCCAGATTCACACTGTAGTAATTGTTCAGATTTTTGAATTAGCTTGTTATTTCTATAAGTGATTGTGAGCTCAGTCTGCAAATATTCTGCAACATCAGTGCGAAGAATACTTGTACATATATGCTCCAGCTGCACAAAAATGCATTCAAAATACAGGTATCATTATATGGGAAGTATTTTAGGAAATGCCCACACACTAGTGTTTTAGATTCAACAAAAAAGCTGTCTATGTCAGTGTTTGGAAGCTGAAATGATAATTCTKCTTTTAATGGCCAGCTCACTATTTTTGCTGTCTGTGAGCTTTAGGTTACACTTTAAAGTAACTTAAGTAAAATAATCTAAAACCTATCTACTTGCAAGTGTATATTACTTTTCA